ACCGTTATCTTGTTGACTTTCGGCTTCACCGGCTGGCACTTTGCTACACAGCGTTTCTTTAAAAGGGATTCTTTTATAGAAAAACAGCTGACTCAGAAAAGCTTTTAAAGGACTGTAAGTGATAGTCTGTTACCCTGATCTTGTTAAGGAAAATCTCCTCAACTTAATCGAGGTGTTAGGAGGACAGTGAAAAACCAGTCAACAAACCAACGTCAAAATTCAACTAGAAAGGAGTCTGCTTAAAGATCAAGAGCACTGGTTTTAATGCCTTAACCAGGCACAAACACATCATCACATACTGCACGAATTACATCCTTGAAGCAGCAATGACAGCCTGACACCGATGCATGCACACGTAATCGTGCACTTCAGTGCAAGACATGGCAACAGAGGAAGCAGGACAGAGAGAGTAAGAGGCAAAGCAAACCGAGATACAGACTGAAATAACAAAAACAGTGGAAACCAGCGAGTAAATAATGTCTTTTTGTCATTCTGAGTCACGCTGACCTCACACCCCACTGCGTTCGACTCACCACAGGCCGGGGTTGCCCTTGGCTGTCTCACAGAAGAAGTGGTTGAAAAGATCTCTGGTGTTGAAGTTGCTCAGCATGGTTGCAGAATGAGAACACGAAGGCTCCTGGTCAGCCAACCCATGACTGTCGAAAGGGAATCACTAATCCCCCGTCACATGACCTACAGCCCAATAATCCCTGCAGGGTCTCACAGCACCTGGTCCAAACGGGCCAAAAGCCAAAGCGTGTGCACGGGATGGGGGAGACCTTTAAGGTTAAGAATGGTGGATAAGTCTATGTGATGCGGACTCTGATTTGTGATATCTCCACTGGTTCAGCTGAAAAACAAGCCAATCACAAAGACGGATTGGCCCTGAATGCAGCTTGTGGTTATTACTAAAAGATGTTCAACCGATCGCCTGGTGGCTTTGTTAGCTGAGAAGCTAAGCTCATGAAATCCTGACTGCATGCACGGTGTCATAATGATCTCATGCATTCATCTGTCTGCATAAAAGCTTTATTACCTGTGTTTAAGGTGCGCCTCCAGGTCACAGCGAGGCATGCTGAGGGAGCAGACAGGGGTCAAAGGGCAGGACACAGACAGCTTGTCCAGCAGCTTGTGCACCAGGATGCTGGACCTGCGGCATGCCTGCAGCTGCAGCCGGGTCCTGTCCAGAGGGCAGAAGTCCCTCTCCTGGAGGAAGCTACGCAGGCAGCGGGCGCAGAAGGTGTGTCCGCATGGCGTATCGAGAGGCTGCACCAGCGGTTGCAGGCAGATGTGGCACACCAGATCGTCATCCACTTCCAGACGGTAGTTGTAAAGGTGGTTTTCCCAGCTGCGGTGGATCTGGCCACACTCGGGACACAGAGCCTCCAGAGCTGGCTCCACGGACCCAGCCAGACCCACCTCGGAGCCCGGGCTGCCCATGTCTTCTCCTTCAACGCAATTCAGCTTTGGCACGACTGAGTCCAGCTGGGATGCAGAGCGGTTGGGAAGGGGCGCACACACTCCTATCCCATAAGCTTCAGAGGCTGAACAGGTGGCGGAGAGGACAAATGCCCCCCAGTGGCTGATGGCACATCACCCTGTGGGTCAGAGGCCAAAACAAGAGAGTTAAACAGCTGTTTCAGAAAAAAAAACAAGACAACAAGTGTTGGGCATTTATTCATGTGGCAAATACTTTGTGCACGTGTGCCCACGTGTTTGCATGAGACTGAGGGTGACACCGCGTGTGTGTGTGTGTGCACGTTTATGTCACTGCTGAGATTATGTATTGCTGCTTCTGTCCACTAATCTGGCAGTATAATCTCTCTTTTGCTCTCGCCTGCTCCAATCTTCCAATTCCACAGAGAGGGAATTATCTGGGATTGAGGCAGAAAGAGGGCACAGATCAGAGAAAGTGAGCTTGGGAAAGCAGCAGAAAAGGAAAGTGGTGCCGACAAGATACGGAAGGGAGTGTAGACAGGTGGAAGAAGAAAAAGAAGAAGAGATCAATGGGATGTGAAAACAGGTACAAGGGAAGAATAAGAATATGGAATTGAAGAGAGGATGAAAGGAAGGGGGGTGAAGCCAAGGAAAACGCTTGATATTTTTGGTTCAGGCTGGGTACAGTAGATGAACTCAGTCTCCTCTACAACGGAAAGAGAACACGCCCAAAGCAAAGTCTTGAAATATAGCACTCCAGCGAGCAGAGCGTGTCCCCAGAGCTAATGCACCACAGTGTGCGCTGATCATTTCCACAGTGCTTCACATCCAAAGCCCCTCAGACCCCCTCGGCCCTTCTATTAGCCCAGCCTCCGAGGGGCCAGATGCTATCAGCCGACAGCAGAGGGCGTGCCTCTACGCTCAGCGGGCCAGCCAAGATACAGTGACTACCTGCCTCTGTTCCAGCGAGGGTCTGCTCCTGTCTCCATGACGACCTGGATCCCGTTCTGCTCAGTGGGGCTTGACATTCAGAGTGTAGCCAGAGAAGGATGCAGAGGAGCCACACAACAGATGCACTCCTCTCAGCAGGATGCTCTGCTCCTCCTCGGTACAGCCTGAAAGCTTGTGAGACAGCGCAGACGATGATGATGAGAGTCCCCTTGAGTCGTTTTTTTTTTTCTGCTCTTTTCATCTCGTCTGGGTCTTTTTTTTTTCCCTTGTAACAACCTGTCCCTCCTGTCTCCTTGGCCACCCCACCGGTAGTTACTTATTTCAGCCTCCTTTAAGTACGTGCTCCTCTTGTCTGCGTGTGACTGGCTGCTTCTGTCTCTATCCCGCAGCTGGACATGAATTAATCATGAGGACACAAGGCTTCTCTGTTTCTATAACAAAGCTGTGACATCACCACATCACACACACACACACAAACAAACACACATATAAACACACATATACGCGTAGACATGCGAGCGTAAGTCTACACAACCAAAAGCAAACACGCACGTCGAACACAAGGGCGTTTTTAGGTACCTGTGAATGGTCTTTATCAATAAGTAAAGTCTTCGTGTTTTCACTGTGACGGCACTTCAGAGCAGTGAAAAGCACTTAAATGTGTTTTAAACAGAGCTGTTGCAACGGATTCCTTTATACAAGCAATATGAAGACTGGCAAATGCTTGTAGAATATCTCTTTTAATCCCACCACACAGTGTGTGTGTACATGTGTGTATGAGAGTCCAAGGCCGGGCTGTTATTGTCATTGCACTGCTTTCCATTTCAGTAAATAACACTCTTGTCTCTCTGGTTATTGTTCGAAATGACAATCTAATCTTACAGGACACGACAGTCCAGTGTGCAGGAATTACATTTTCAAAGAAGATGAAATGATGTTTTAGGCCACAGATTTAAAAATCTCAGGTCCTCTCGGCTTAGCCTACATTTTCATAAAACCCCATCTCTCTTATCTTAAAAAAAAAGGCTCTGGTAGCCACTTGCAGGAACAGGCCTGCTGCTGCTGCTGTTCTGCAAGGTCTGTTGCAATAGGCTGCCTTTTTTTCTTAAACCACCCCCCTCCACACCACCCAGACACACAAAGATAACAAAAAAATGACACTGATTTAATTTAAATGTACAATAATTTTTTTCTGGCATAGACCTGATCTACCTTGGGAGCGCTCCCACTGCAGTGTCATGATCAAATACGCAAGCCCGACACACTTACATATATCAGAATTTTTTTTTTAATCATTGCCCCCCATCTGTCTGACTCCATCCCACCCTCCCCACAAGCGGAAAAACCTGGGACCGATGAGGCGACAGCAGCATAGAAAGCAAAGCCAGCCACACACTGACACCGCTCGCGCAGGCAGATGTGATGTGACGTTACCTTTTCCGGCGGCTCCTCCGCGCCGTGCACTCCGGCCCCAAAAAGGGGGGTGATTATTAGCCGCGGGACCTCAATCACGCATCCACCGCAACGGACCGTTCCGCAAAACCCGCACGAAAACGCCCCCGTGCCTTTGGCAGCGCTGACCCCGCCCACTGCTGTCCGTCAAAACCGAGTGGGCGGGGCATACGGTTGTCAATCCAGAGGAGAGCTAGGGGTTGGCTTTAAGACCGCCTTTTCGTAAATACATAATTAAAAAACAAATAGACAAATAAATAAATAAGAAAACAAAATGTGTTTAAATATATTTATGTATAAAAAAAATTCTAATAAGTCAGCAAACACATAAAAATAAATAGATAACTGTATACATTTGTAACGCAGACAAACATAGGTAAATCGATACACAAATAAACACACACACACACACACACA